TTTAGAATAGAGTTCTGTAGCACTGGAGTGAAATAAACACATAAATCAGCAAAGTCAGAAATAAACAGTGCATATAAGCATTAACTGCTATGTGAAATAATAATGCTTTAACTAATCACTCTAGGAGATTGGCTAGGATATGGTGCAATGTCCCCTGAGAGGTACCTCTTAGCATAAGCAGTAGGAGAAGGTCTCTTTGTAGCAGCTGTAAAGGGACAGTCTTTAGTAAAATGTTTCAGATGGCTAGTGTTGGGGCCCAGTTGTACCATTGGTGCACATGAGAATAGCCCCAGTCAAGCTTCCAGGCAGCAAAATGGCTAATAGATGGCTGTAAGGGCAGTTCCTAAAGGGCTCAGGCTCTCAACAAATAGTAAATTTCCACAACAGCAGCTCACCAGTCGTAGGGATATTACAGCTCACCATCCAGTCACATACAGCAATCAGTCCACACTCTGCTATGCACCGAGGCGACTCTAGTTGTTGGCACTCCCAAGCTCAGTGCTCCAGATCCCATACAAGCGGCCAGTATACAGCATTGATGGTGTACACTGTACAGTGCACACTGTGCATTCTCCAGTCTCCCTCACAGAAAATGCAGCTCTTCCCCCTCCTCTTGGTAATATCCATCTGCGAAATGCAATTAAAGCTCTCTTGATTACAGTTGAGTCTCTCTCCTCTGAACTACAGTTCCAACAGTGCAGTGCTGACTGACTCAGTCTATTGAACTCTTCCTGATCAGCAGCTCCCTCCTTTTTCTGATATAGCGGTTAACCAGTTAAACACCATAAGGCAGCGTCTAGAGAGAGCAGCTGCAGCCAGTGTTTCTCTCGCTCTCCATTCTTAGCCAAGTACCTGGCTACACAGGCATAGGAGGGAAGGCGTAATCCTGATTAGTCCCATTGGCAGGAAAGCACATCAGCTCTTTCAGATAAGTGCTATGGAAGGCAAGACGGGAATCTTCGGAGCTTGCAGTTCCCGAGGGCCACGAACAGGGAATACCTATAACTGGGTGATATGGTCAAGTATGTGAAGAGGGATTGACCATTCTTTGTTATCTAGGAAAGTTGTAGATGGTCAGTCCGCTTTTACATTTAGCCAACCTAGGTTTGTTGCTCTCAGATCCAACATGTTTGATTCTGTCCAGAGAATTATATTTTCTACTTATTTTAGAACGGTGTGTCTGTGGGTGCCCCTTGTCTCTCAATATAAGAACCTACTGCCCTGTTTTCCTTTTACAGCATTACTGATTTACACTTGATTTGAGATGTCACTTAAACCAATGAGGCTGCTCATATATTTTTAAGATATTGGACACTGCTCCTTAAAATGGGAAGTTCCACTTCCCGTGTGCTTGGGTGCTGTTGCAGTGAGCACCCCAGCCTCTTTTGCTGGTGTCTGTGGTAACTATGGTCTATGATAATGGACCTGACAGGTGAGACTGAGATGGAGATTTTCCTTGAACCCACCACCAGAGCATCCTACATATAATGAGTGATACTCTGATCATTTGGCTCAGATGTTGCTCCTTCCATTGTGTTAGGAAGCCTCTCTTTAATTATCTGAGATGCCAATGCACCCAGGGTATCAGGTGTATACATGCTAACATGGTGGGTACCTAACAACAGGCTCAACCACTGGGGCATTGACATGCGAGGAGATGAAATTGCCATCTAGATTTTCCTCCTGGCGGCTGTAATCTTTTGTTGTGGGATGGAGATTAAGTCTACTGAAATGTCAAAAAGAGCTCCCAGATTTGTTTGCTGTTTTGGAAATAGCGGACTCGTCTTCTTGCAAGTAGTAGGATGTCGTTGAGTTAGTGGCAGACCTTGCTCTAAGAGGACAAATAACACAATCTGCACTTTTGGAAAGGGTTTTCGAGGGGGTTAATAACCAGAAAGAAAGATTTTGAAAACAGATGAATTTGTCCTATTTCAAACCTGAGTTACAGTAAGATAAGATTCACTGCCCGAGGGCCCAGGGTCAGTAGGGGGGCCCCATGAGATGCCCCTGGTACCTTTTTCATAGGCTTTTTTGAGTTTGGGCAAGGACACAGGGGCCCCATGATCCCCTATTGCCTGGGAGCCCCATGAGTAGTCAGTCTGCCCCTGATGAATCCTAATCTGCCATTGGTTCTAAACTTTCCCCACTAGACCAAAAAAAAGGCAAGAAAATGTTGCCATTGGGCTTTTAAACAAAGAAAACCTCTCTATCCCTATAAGCATTAATATGGATAAAATGAAATGCATAAAATATTAGCATTCTCTTTTTCCTTGAAGAGGTTATTATTTGCTTGAACTATGTTCTCTGACACTAACACACTAATGTATGTCCCGCAGGCACTTTCTTCAGTTACTGTACACCTAGGAATGAGGAAGGGAACAGCACTTTAATCTGAAAAGGAAGTTTTACTTTCATTTCTCAGCCCTCGTCACAATGGCATCTCTAGATGTAAGAGACGAGCTGTACTGCTCCATCTGTCTCGCCATTTACACGGATCCTATAACTCTGCGATGTGGACACAACTTCTGTAAGGTCTGTATTCATTGTGTGCTGGAAACACAGAAGGAGTCTGAAGTTTACTGCTGTCCAGAGTGCAGAGAGGAGTTTCAGGAAAGGCCTGCTCTATTGCGGAACATAACTCTCCGAAACATAGCTGAGCGTTTTCTATCTGTTCAGGAAACTCAGGAGGAGACCGGGGTCTTCTGTACTTATTGTGACTCTCCTGTTCCTGCTGTTAAGACCTGTCTGCTGTGTGAGGCTTCTCTATGTGGCAATCACTTAAAAAAACACAGAAATTCATCAGAACATGTGCTGGTGGATCCCACAATGTCCCTGGAGAACAGAAAATGTCCCACTCACAAAGAGGTCCTCAAGTACTACTGCATGGAGGACTCCACCTGTATCTGTGTCACTTGCAGGCTCGATGGAAACCACCAAGGACATCAAGTGAAGTCACTAGACGAGGCCTCTGAGAAGAAGAAGCAGAAGCTGAGAAATATTCTCCAGAATATTACCTCTAGCAGAGCAGAATCTGAGAAAATGGTCCAGAAATTGCATGCACACGTGAAATGCATACAAGATAAAGCAGTGCATAAAACAAAGCGAGTCACTACCATCTTTAGAGACCTCAGGACCCAACTGGATGACCTGGAGGAAAAAATCCTCACTAAGATATCCACACAAGCAAAGCAGATGACCTGTTCCATTTCTGATGTGATCCAGCAGCTGGAAATGAAGATGGACACGTTGCTTAGGAAGATGCATCACATTGAGGAACTGTGTGGCTTGACTGATGCACTGACTGTCATACAGGAATCAAAAAATAATCTTTTTTTTTATGTTGGACAGAAAGCCCATGAAAGTGAAGAGGAGTATTCAAAAATAGTCAATGCTACAGGAAATCTGGATGAGACTGTGATAGTAGAGACATTACAAGCTAAGTTATCTGATATTATAACCTCAATGGAGAAAGAAATTCACTTACCATGCAGTCCTACAAACTAGATGGCAACACAGCCGCTAAAAGTTTACATCTATCCCAGAATGGAAAAGAGGCACACTGGATAAAACCAGCACCAGGTTTATTATATGCAGACTCACCAGAAAGATTCCAGGACTGTTCCCAGGTTTTAGGCTCCCTTTGTTTTTATTCGGGACAACACTTCTGGGAAACACAGATGAGTGAGTGTGGAGAGTGGAGGTTGGGAATGTCCTATGGATCTATTAATAGGAGAGGAGATCCTTCATATTTAGGGTCTAATGACAAGTCTTGGTGTTTGTCTAAGTCCTCCAACAATCGCTATTCAGTTATACATGACGGGCTAGAAACTATAGTATCTCAAAAAATTTCCTGCAATAGATTCAGGGTCTGTCTGGATTATGAGGCAGGACAGATATCCTTTTATGAATTGTGTAACCCCATCAAACACCTCGACACCTTCACTTCCACCTTCACTGAGCCCCTTTATGCTGCATTCTATGTGTTTGGATCCAATGCCTTTGTAAAAATCACAACATAGAGTAGAGTTCTCCTGCATTGAGAAGAGCCTTGTCTCATGGGAGCCAACAGGGAATTGTTTAGAATTGTTAATTTTACAGTATCCACATGTTTTGTATTATAGCTACAAGGCTTTTCAAACAATCTATCACCTTATTCCCTTTCAATTTACTGAACTGGCAGCAGCCTTGAGAAGCAGACCTTAGCAATACCTGCTCGTTCACAATTCTTGAATCGTTCCACAAGTGCCGCTCAATCAAGAGGATCCATTATACAAACACAAACCAACTTCCACCATTTTCCTAATTCCCTGAGTGCATCCCCTTTTTTTTCTATATACCTTTTTTTAGGGTGTCTTCTGGTTGGTCATAGTTAGCATTGCAAAAAAATTATGTGTGAGCAGTTGCATTGGGATTTAAAGTGTTACTAACCCCACAACAGTACAATCAGTCTGTATATGCAGTAAAGCATGCTGGTTATACTGTGGAACCTAAGGGGTTAATCCTGCACATTGTGTAAAAAGGCTGTTTGATCCTGTCTTCTCTGGTCAAACAGCCTTTTTACACAATGATCCCTTCTTCCAGTGTCAGTGTCTTATGTGGAGTCACTCTGCACATGAGCAGTTTGGTGTTTATTGCTAGAGAGTTTATTTTTCTTGGGAGAGTGCATGTGATCAGACAGGGCACTGTCCAGACAGAGCTCAGGGGTCCTGCATCCTCCTAGAGCATAAATAAAACTCCTCCTACAAGCTTTAACCAGTGCTCAACTGGACACTGATAGAAGTCACAAGACTGCTATATACTGCTGATGAGAAAAGGTATTTAGCAATTTATATTTACTAAAATAATTGCATTTCCATGTTCTGTGTACTGTGGGAGACCAGATATAGTGAATTCAGGGTCCGGGTAGACCAGATATAGTGAATGTAGAGTCCGGGGAGAGCGGATATAGTGAATGCGGGGTCCGGGGAGAGCGGATATAGTGAATGCAGGGTCGGGGAGAGCGGATATAGTGAATGCAGGGTCCGGGGAGACCGGATATAGTGAATGCAGGGTCCGGGGAGACCAGATATAGTGAATGCAGGGTCCGGGGAGAGCGGATATAGTGAATGCAGAGTCCGGGGAGACCAGATATAGCGAATGCAGAGTCCGGGGAGACCAGATATAGCGAATGCAGAGTCCGGGGAGACCAGGTATAGCGAATTCAGGGTCTGAGGAGAGTGGGTATAGCGAATGCGGGGTCCGGGGAGAGCGGATATAGCGAATGCAGGGTCAAGGGAGAGCGGATATAGCGAATGCAGGGTCCGGGGAGAGTGTATATAGTGAATGCAGGGTCCGGGGAGAGTGTATATAGTGAATGCAGGGTCCGGGGAGAGTGGATATAGTAAATGCAGGGTCCGAGGAGAGTGGATATAGCGAATGCAGGGTCCGGGGAGAGCGGATATAGCGAATGCATTGTCCGGGGAGAGCGGATATAGTGAATGCAGGGTCCGGGGAGAGCGGATATAGTGAATGCAGGGTCCGGGGAGAGTGGATATAGTGAATGCAGGGTCCGGGGAGACCGGATATAGTGAATGCAGGGTCCAAGGTGACCGGATATAGTGAATGCAGGCTCCGGGGAGACCGGATATAGTGAATGCAGGCTCCGGGGAGACCGGATATAGTGAATGCAGGCTCCGGGGAGAGCGGATATAGTGAATGCAGGCTCCGGGGAGACAGGATATAGTGAATGCAGGGTCCAGGGAGACAGGATATAGTGAATGCAGGGTCCGGGGAGACCAGATATAGTGAATGCGGGGTCCGGGGAGAGCAGATATAGTGAATGCAGGGTCCTGAGTTTAGTAACACTTTAAGTAATGGAATTAAAATGGAAAGAGAGAACATATTATATTACATTATATTATTATATCTGTTTTGTAGAAATGGTAGAAATGGTAATTCTGATTCCTCCTTCTGGTTGTCAGCCAATGGACCAGAGCTAAAGTACTTCCACTGGAAGCCTGTTTTTCAGAGTTTTCAGTTGGCAGTTCAAGATTCAAAAATACTGGCATGGGTTTACAAGCTGAAAATAATAATAATAATTAATAACAGATCTACGTAAGAGTGGAGACACTTCATTTGAAACTATACTTTATACCTAACATTGCAAATTTAACCTTTTTTTGTTTTTTTCATCCTGCATTCTTTCAAAACTCTTGGAAAGTTTAAAAGACATAATCGTCTAATCTCTAGTAAAAGATCTCATTAAATGCTATCTATATAAAAAGTCTCCATTCAGAAAGTTTCAATACAAGGATAAGGCTCTTTATTTTCAGCCATGTGGTGGTTATTTTTAAGGCCTCGTACACACCATGGTGCAGAGACATCAGGTTTTTCTTGCACGCACTCTGCAAGAGCACAATTATTATTATTATTACTATTATTATACAGGATTTATATATTATTATTATACAGGATTTATATGGCGCCAACAGTTTGCTCAGCGCTTTACAATATAACGGGAGACAATACAGTAACAATACAGTTCAATACAAGAGCGATTTCAGTGCCCTGTTCCTTGGAGCTTACAATCTAGGAGATGAATTCAATTGTTCTCTATGTTCACACCACATCACTAGTATCACAGGCAGATTTTTTTTCTGTGCAGAAATCTGCAAGGTGTATAAAACTCATTGAGGCTCACATGTAAACTGATGTCTCTGCAAGTGAAATTTGCACATTTGGGTGTCAGTGTTTCTGAACGTATGGTGTGAATGAGCCCTAAATCTATTGGCTGTCACATTTTGAAAACAAAATCTTATCCTGTTGTGTGAATTTGGCAAACATTCTTTTAAAACTTGTTTTTTTTTTTCCTCTAAACAATAAACAAATATTTATACTATTCTGTTTTGGTTTTTCATGACATGTGAAGTTGTAAACCTTGATGTATGCTTTCATTCTCTGTAGATTACTTTACTTTTATACTGTTTTGTTTAATTTGTTACCTCAACAAAACAATAAAAAAAAACCGGATTCAGTCACACTCTAAAAAAACAAAAGTCAGCAGCTACAAAAACTGTAGCTGCTGATTTTTAAAAACAGCCACTCGCCTGTCCCTCGATCCCCATGTGTTCTTCCTGGAGTCGGTTTCACCGGCCGCCCTATGTTCCTGGTGCCAGCATCTTAAGTGTGGGCACCCGGCTGTGACAGCTTGCGGCTTCACAGCCAGGTGCCCACTGCGCATTCGCAAGAAGCGCTGTGCTTTGTGAATGGCCCCGTCATCTTCTGGGACCTGTCACGTGTCCCAGAAGACTATGGGGAGGGAGGACGACTTCTGCTTCTGATCACCTAGGCCAGGGGTCTCCAAACTTCCTGAACAAAGGGACAGTTTTCTGGTCTTCTGACTTTAGGGGGCCAGACTGTAACCAGTGGGAATGGAAAATATAGCAGAAATGGTGCCCAAATATTGGTGTCAGCAGAAGGTATAGCACTCTATTATTGGTGAGGAATAGTGCCACAATATTGGTGTCAGTGGAAGGAATGGTTCCCCAACACTGGTATCAACTAAAGAAAAATTACCCCAATACTGGTGTCAGTGGAAGGACCAGGCCCCCACATTGGTGTCAGTGGAAGGACTGGTGCTCCAACATTGGTGTCAGTGGAAGGACTGGCGCTCCAACATTGGTGTCAGTGGAAGGACTGGCGCTCCAACATTGGTGTCAGTGGAAGGACTGGCGCTCCAACATTGGTGTCAGTGGAAGGACTGGCGCTCCAACATTGATGTCAGTGGAAGGGCTGGCGCTCCAACATTGGTGTCAGTGGAAGGGCTGGCGCTCCAACATTGATGTCAGTGGAAGGGCTGGCGCTCCAACATTGATGTCAGTGGAAGGGCTGGCGCTCCAACACTGGTGTCAGTGGAAGGACTAGCGCTCCAACATTGGTGTCAGTGGAAGGACCAGGCCCCAACATTGGTGTCAGTGGAAGGGCTGGTGCTCCAACATTGGTGTCAGTGGAAGGGCTGGCGCTCCAACATTGGTATCAGTGGAAGGACTGGCGCTCCAACATTGGTGTCAGTTGAAGGACTGGCGCTCCAACATTGGTGTCAGTGGAAGGACTGGCGCTCCAACATTGGTGTCAGTGGAAGGGCTGGCGCTCCAACATTGGTGTCAGTGGAAAGACTGGCGCTTCAACATTGATGTCAGTGGAAGGGCTGGCGCTCCAACATTGATGTCAGTGGAAGGACTGGCACTCCAACATTGGTGTCAGTGGAAGGACTGGTGCTCCAACATTGGTGTCAGTGGAAGGACTGGTGCTCCAACATTGGTGTCAGTGGAAGGACCAGGCCCCAACATTGGTGTCAGTGGAAGGGCTGGCGCTCCAACATTGGTGTCAGTGGAAGGACTGGCGCTCCAACATTGGTGTCAGTGGAAGGACTGGCGCTCCAACATTGGTGTCAGTGGAAGGACTGGCGCTCCAACATTAGTGTCAGTGACAGAAATAGTTCACCATCGATGGTATCAGTGGGAGGAAAAGTGCCCCATCTTTAGTGTTAGTGGGAGTAATAGTGATCTATATTTTATATCAGTGGATGGAATTATGTTCCATTGTTGATGTCAGTGGCAGGAACAGTACCCCAATAATGATGACCAGTGGGAGGAAAAATGCACCATCTTTAGTGTTAGCGGAAATAATAGTGTTCTGTAGTTTAAATCAGTAAGAGAAATGATGTCCCAATGTTAATGTTCGTGGAAGGAATATCGCCTCACATCAGTGGGAGGAATAGTGCCCCAAGGGACAGATAAAGGCAAACAAAAGGCCGCAGTTTGGGGACCACTGGCCTAGCGATCGCAGCGGAATTGGAAGCAGGTACCTGTCAATTTCAGGTACCTGCACCCCTCTCTGCTCCAAGGTGCCAATTCTTAATGGGGAGCGAGAGACCAGCCTATAAAGCAGAACTTCCCCTTTTGGCTGGAGCTCCACTTTAAGTTACTAAAAAAGAAGGAAACCTATATTACCTGTTCAGACCGTGAGGTGGTGGTAAAGGTCAACAGCTAGATGTAGACATTTTGTACGTTCTCTGCTCCAATCAGGGGCAGAATGACAACTCATGGGGCCCCCGGGCAATAGGAGATCATGGGGCCCCTGTGTCCTTGCCCAAACTCAAAAAGGCCTATGAAAAAGGTACCAGGGGCATGTCATGGGGCCCCCTACTGACCCCGGGCCCTCGGGCAGTGCCCAAGTTTCCAAATGGTCAGTCCGCCCCTGGTTGACACCCTCAGTCCTTTTACTCATCTTGTTATTTTTCTATGCTAGAAAGATTATTTTTCTCTCGTGGAAAAACACCAACAACACCCCACTCTTTGATGGCTTGGAAAAGGTTGATTAATAATCAGTGGGTGTAGAACAGGCGGAAATATAAAAAGTCCCCCTCCTCCCTCTATGGGCGGGGCCATGAGGAGAAATGCCCACCCACCATGGTACAGTCTCGGTATTAGGGCGGGGCCGTATTATCAAAACCGATAGAACGCTCAAGCCACGCTTAGCGCTCCATCTTGGGGGGGCGGGTCTGTAAGGAGTGATGGGTGGGGGGGCGGCCCCTATACTACCCTTTAGTGCACGTGGGAGAAAAGACGGAAGTGCGGGCCCTTTTTGAATAGCTTATTAGAAGGCGTGGTGGAAAGTGGGCGTAGAAAAGGTGCAAAGTAGGCGTGGAACAGGAGGAAAGTAAGCGTGGAACTGGCCCAAAGTGGGCGTGGAACAGAAGCTAAGTGGGCGTAGAACAGGCGAAAAGCGGGCGTGGAACAGGCAAAAATTAAGCGCAAAATATTCTTGTTCCTGGGAGGGTGGACAAGTGAAAGCTAGAATTCACTTAGTACTGTGTATTTCTAGTCAGATATTTCCCTCCTGAAAGGGTACACAGCTACTTGTAATTGAGCCTGTGATTGGTCACAAAGACACCCAGAAGAAATAATTAAGTCATCTTATTAGCCCCACTGCCTGTCAGTCAGTGGAAAGGGGCGGGTTCTGTCATTCTAGTAACCCGGTGAAGCCGGGCAAGGACAAGGAAACAGGGGCGGAGCATTAGTAGAGGAAGAGCGTGAAGGGTTGAATGTGCCCGATGCCGATTGGTGACATAGTATGTACGTTGTAGGCTGATTGGGAGATTGTTGCCAGTGCTGCCCGAGCAGCCGTATTCCCATTGGCTGTCAGCAGAAAGCTGGGTTCTGATTGGAGAGATGCCTTTCAGTCACACAGGGGTCACTGGAGCTGATTGGCTGGCGGTACTGCAGTCCGTCGAGACGCCGGTTCCAGATTGGCTTGCGCGGTAGCACGTGCTCCGGTGACCTGAAGAGTCTCCGGTGTGTATGGGGCGTTTTGGCCTTGTGTGGAAGCGCCTATACTGGGCTCTCGCCATGTCACAGCCTGAGGCGCGGGTCCTCGGCAGGCGCAAGAACAGTCTCGCCCCGGTAACCCTCCGACACGTCAGGAACAGAGGAAAGCGCGACTACAACGAGTCCAATGGACCCCCACACCTTCTATGTGCAGGCTTTGGCAGCCGGGAGCCGGGACAACGGGGCCTCCCTCTTCCTCTTCTCCGAGTTTAACAGGTCTCTGAGGGTGCCACATAGATTGGAGGTCTGGAGTCAGGAGGAGCCACGCTAGGGTTGGGGGTCACACTGAAATTCAGAGGGGCCCCCAGTGAGGAAGGTAGCAGCTCTGGTGTTTGAAAGGGCCACACTGGGGGAGGGGGACAAGTCGGCCTCCGGTGGGGGCCACGTTGGGGTTGGGGTCACACACTGAAATTCAGAGGGGGGCCCCCCCCAGTGAGGAAGGTAGCAGCTCTGGTGTTTGAAAGGGCCACACTGGGGGAGGGGGACAAGTCGGCCTC